CAAAAGTAGATTCTGGTAAGTTAAGATGTATATGGTAATAATACAATGGAATGTCATCAAACCATAAAAAGGAATGAAATTCTGACACATGCTACAATATGAATGATTCTTGAAAACATTATGCAAAGTGAAATAAGCCAGAAACAAAAGAACAAAAATTATATGATTCCACTTACATGAAATATCTAGAATAAGCAAATTCAGAGAGACAGGAAGTAGATTAGAGATTACCAGGTGCTGGGGAGGAGTTATTGCTCAATGGGTACAGAGTTTCTGTTTGGAGTGATGAACAAAATTGGGAAACAGTGGTAATGGTTGCACGACAGTGGGAATGTGATAATGCCACTAAATTGTACACTTAGAATGGTTAAAATAACAAAGTTTATGTTACATATATTTTATTTTACCACAATTCTTTTAAAAAAATGTATATGATAAGCCCGAGAGTAACCACTAAAAAAAACCCTTTAAAAATACAATAAAAAAGTAAAAAAAATAGTTAGAAATCATTAAAGAAATTTATTCACTTAATGCATACGAAAGCAGTAAGGAAGGAAGAGAGGAACAAAAAAGACGAGACATACAGAAACCAATACTCAGTAAACACACCACATAAAAGGAAAACTACAGACCAATATCTCTCATGAACATAGATGGAAAACCCTCAAGAAAATATGAGCAAATCAAATCCAACAATGTATAAAAAGAATTATATACCACGACCAAGTAGGATTTATTCCAGGTATACAAGGCTGGTTTGACATTCAAAAATCAATGAATGTAATCTGTCACATCAACAGGCTAAACAAGGAAAATCATATGATCATATCAATTGATGCAGAAAAAGAACTTGACAAAATCCAATATCCATTCATGACAAAAAACAAAAACAACTTACAATGGATCACAGACCTAAGTAGAAAACATAACACTGCAGAACTTTTAGAAGGAAATACAGGAGAAAATCTACGTGACTTTGGATTTGTCAATGAGTTCTTAAATATATCAGCAAAAGCAGGGACACCTGGGTGGCTCAGCCGGTTAAGTGTCCGACTCCTGGTTTCAGCTCAGGTATTGATCTCAGGGTCCTGGGATCTAGCCTGGCTTCAGGCTCCGTGCTCAGCGGGGAGCCTGCTTGAGGATTCTCTCCCTCTCCCCCTACCCTCTCTCAGAGTAAAATCTTAAAAAACAAACAAAAAATGGTAAAAGCATGGTCCATGAAAGAAAAAAATCAATAACCATGACTTCATTAACATAAAAAACTTCTGCTCTGTAAAAGATACTGTTAAGAGAATGAAAAGACTAGTCACAGACTGGGAGAAAATATTTGCGAAACATGTATCTTATAAAAGACTTATATATAAAATATGCAAAAAATACTTAAAACTCAACAATAAGAAAACAATCCAAGGGGTGCCTGAGTGGCTCAGTCGTTAAGTGTCTGCCTTCAGCTCATGTTAATGATCCCGGGGTCCTGGGATCGAGCGAGCCCCGCATCGGGCTCCCTGTTCGGCGGAAAGCCTGCTTCTCCCTCTCCCACCCCCTTTGCTTGTGTTCCCTCTCTTGCTGTGTCTCTCTCTGTCAAATAAATAAATAAAATCTTTTGAAAAAAGAAAACAATCCAAGAAATAGGCAGAAGATCTAAATAGCTCACCAAAGATACACAAATGGCAAATAAACATATGACAAGATGCTCAACATCAGCTGACACCAGGGAATTTCAAATTAAAACAAATTAACTTTAAAACAACAACAGATCCCACTACACAACTATTAGAATGACTAAACAATTTTTTTTTACTGATAATACTAAATGCTGGCAAGGATGCGACAGCAACAGGAACTTTCATTGATGATGGGAATGCAAAATGGCACAGCACTTTGGAACGTAGTTTGGTAGTTTTTTTTTACAAAACCCAATTTATATTTTACCACAGAATCATACTCCTAGGTATCTACTCAATTAATGTGAAAACTTATGCACATAGAAAACCTGCACAAGAATGTTTAGAGCAGCTTTATTATACCTTAATAGAAGCAACTAAAATGTCCTTCAGTAGGTGAACAGATAAACAGATTAACCAGGAAACATCTCTAAAATGTAATATTCAGCAACAAAAGAAAATGAGTTAAAAAGCCATGAAAAAGACACGGAGGAACCTTAATGCACTTTGCTAAGTGAAGGAACACTGTCTAAAGGACTATATGACTATATATGACTCCAATTATATGGCATTCTAAAGGCAAAACTTTAGAGACAGGAACATGATCAGTGCTTGCCAGGAGTTTGGGAGGAAGCAGGATGGATGAACAGATGAAGCACAGGGAATTTTTAGGGAAATAAAATAATTCTGTATAATATTGATATGGTAGATACATGATATTATGCATTTATCAAAATCCATAGAATTTTATAGCAAAAAGAGTGAACCTTAATATATGCAATTTAAAAAAATTCACCTGGGAGGTAGGGGAATCCCAGGAAAGAATGCAGACTGTGACAAGGGAATCTACCTGTATCACGATGTATGAAACAACCTCACTGAAGTGGATGGGAGGAAAAAGCACCGACCTAAGTAACTAAGGAAATGAGTAGAGCCTATTAAAGGAAAAGGAACTGCACATAAGTACTGTACTTCGATAGTTTTTTCCCATGGAGTATGGTCTAACAACTCAAATACTGCTATATGTGTATGCTGAAATTGGATGGTGGACGGTGGGAGTCAGGTTTCTTTTCTTTTTTTGGTGGTGGTGCGGGGAAAGGCCAAGTTTCTAACTGTAGTAGTAAAGATTTATTAGTAAGCAAAGGGGAGGAGGCTAGAATGATCCATGTGGTAATGGATTAGAATTGGAGGTAATATGAACTCATGTTTAGCCTAATATAGACACAGTGGTTATATATAGAAATATTTAGGGCACCTGGCTAGCTCAGTCTACAGAGCATGTGACTCTTGATCTTAGGGCCATGAGTTCAAGCCCCACCTTGGGCCCAGAGCTTACCTAAATAATATATGTATTTATAATATATGCATGGGTCACTATTCACACATATTTTTCTTTGCTCTGTCAGTGGAGAGGGCTTAAAAGACACTCCTACCAGTAGCACTCCTAGGAGTGGGGAATTATGCTCCCCCAACGTGAGAGCCAGCTATTTACATAAATTGAGCAGTGGCTACAGAAAGCGGAAGGGCCAGAGACAGGATGGAAGGGGAAGCATCAGGAAGAGCACCACAACAGGGGAAAATATTGGAGACTCGGTAGACAAGTCAGGAATGGTCCCTGCCTACCAGCAATGGTGCTAATACTCTGAAAACAGAAGGATAAAGCCACCAGAAGCAGGCCCACTGGCCTGAAGCTTAAGTGCAACCCAACTTGGGTAGAAATTAAGCCATCTGCAAGCAGTTGCCATTTGGCAAGTTGATATTTGGCACCTTTACTGCTCCCATCTCCGTGTGTTCTGAAGGGGCAGAAACCCAGAGGATTTAACCCAGGGTCTAGGCTCCCCGAAGCACCCAGCATGAAGGCCCGCTGTCACGGCCTCAGTAGGACCTGTTAAGTGTGTGGAGAAATAATCAGTGCGCTAATAAGGATGGCAAAGAGTACTGTGAGATGAGTCCCAAGCGCTTTAGAAGTAGGTGACTGTATGTGGTCCCTGGACCCATTACTAAACAGGCCACAGACGCTGGCCTGCAAGAAAAGGGACCTTCTGGAAGGGTCTGCGTATACCACCTCAGCAGCGTCTCTGGTTCCAGGGGTGATCCCCTGAGCCCAGGGCCACGTACCAGGCTCAGGTCTACACAAGGGGAAGGTATGATGTACAAGACCGGGTAGGCCCAGTGCAGGACACACTGGTGAGTCAGGAAGCGCGGAGCAAGCAAATATAAGAAGTTCTGGACCAGGAGCCATAGACTTGGTTTCGGAACCAAACTCTGCCACTCTCTGCTTTGCGTCACTTAGCCTCCCTAAGCCTGTTTCCTCATCTTTATAAAGAAGTCTTCCGACTTCTTCACACGGTGGTCAGGGGATCAAATGAGATAACGTAACGTGTGCATGTAGTTGGCCAACAGGCAACTGCTAGCCCAGCGGTTCTCAAAGTGTGGTCCGAGGGCCTCTGCGAGTTCCTGAGACCTTTCGAGATGGTCTGAGAAGTCTTCCCTTTTCCAACTGGCGTCTGCCGCAGCCCAGAATCGCTCTGTAAACTTCCTCCAAAACAGCTGATGAGACTCCAACTGTCCTTTATTAAACCAAAGAAATTTTCAAAAATACATACCACGCCCCTCTTTCACTACATGTGTTAAAATGTTACGGGTTTGTCATTTGTAAATGAGTATTTTTAAAAATTCTGTTTTAAGGGCGCCTGGGTGGCTCAGTTGGTTAGGCGACTGCCTTCGGCTCAGGTCATGATCCCGGAGTCCTGGGATCGAGCCCGGCGAGGGGCTCCCTGCTCGGCTTCTCCCCCTGACCCTCTCCCCTTTCCTGTTTCTCATTCTCTCTCAAATAAATAAATAAAATCTTTATAAAAAAAATTCTGTTTTAATTCCTCACACCGTAAAGATTAAAAGATACAAGAAAACTCTAAGGGGTCCTCAATAATTTTTCGGCAGGTAAAGGGGTCCTGAGACCAGTCTGGGGGCCGCTGCGCAGAACCAACGGGCGGAGGGTGTTCTCACTCAGCGGGCGAGCCGTCGCTCACAGGCTGCCTCCAGGACCCTTTTATAAAACAGCCGTAAGTTCGCGGCTTCCACTTGTGGGAGAGACTCGTTGTGTGCTCTGGGGCTGCTAATCCGAATGTCTGTACCCATTTCCCGGGCCCAAGCAAGGACCCTCCCACAGGGAGGCAAGCGCAGGAGAGGCGACCGTCGCGGGGCGTCGGCGACCTTGGCAGAGGTCGAGCCGGCGCACGGGAGGCGCGCGGTGCTCCCGGCCGGCGTGGGGATGGTTCCCGGCAGGGACCGGGGAGGCCCGGCCGGGTGGCGGGGGACTTAGGGACCTGCACTCACAGCCTCGGCAGCGCCGCCGCCGCCGTTCCATGGAGAGCTCTCCACAGCAGACGCAACGCCATCTTCCGGACGCGCGCGCGCCCCCTCAGTCCTGTCCTTCCTCGTTTCGCCACGCCCCCATGGCCCCGCCCCCAGATGGGCCCGCCCCCCGCAATCCCAGCCGCGCCACGCCTCGTCCCCCGAAAGCCGTGCCCCCTGCCTGACGCACCTGTTCCCACCCCGAGCCCGAGGTGTCCCTGCTGCCAGAAACTTCTGCGCTGTCATGGCAGGCAGAGTAGGGGCTCCGAGTGGTTGGCCACTTCTTGAGCGGTTTTTCTGGTGACTGAATCCAGTTTTCTCCGTGCTTCTGGGTTTTTTAAGGCGACGTTGAGAGACTTTGCGTTTTCCCAACCAGAACAGGCCAATTTTTCTAGGGATTAGTTGCTTATGTTGTTAAAAGTACCGCCTAACAAATTCGTGAGCCTCACCTTGTGCACGCCTTAACAGTGAATCCATTATGGGACGTATATTCCTGTAATAGGATCAGAACAGCTGTGGGCAACTTTCTGGGCCAGAGAAATGCTTGCCGAAGACTCAGTCAGCAAACACAGCACTTCACTCTAACGCCTTCCTGTCAGTTTTCCAGCAAATACAACTCCTGCCGCTTCACAGTCGGGGGACTGCTAAGGTATTAAAACAGACTTTATTAGCTGTGTGACTTTGGTTAAGTTACTTAAGCTCTCCGTGCCTCAGTTTCCTCCTCTATAAGATGGGGATATTAATAGTACTCACCTCATAGGTCTGTTATAAGGATATCTTGAGTTAATTTATATAAAGAGCTTAAAACCTTGCTGGCCCAGAGCAAGTGCCCTGTAGCGTTAATTCTCATCATTATCATCATCTTGTCAATTCCCTTCTTGAAACCCTTTGGTGGCTTCCAATGGGAAGCATTTAGAATAAAACCCAAGTTCTTCACCACAAACCTGAAGGCTTTAGAGGATCTAGTCCCTGCCTATCTCTCCACCTTATTTCAGCCCCACACTCTTTTTTCCACTTTTTTTTTTTAAAGATTTTATTTATTCATTTGAGACACAGAGATAGAGCACAAGCAGGGGGAGCGGCAGAGGGAGAAGCAGGCTCCCCGCTGAGCCAGGAGCCCAACGTGGGGCTCCATCCCAGGACCCTGGGATCACGGCCTGAGCCAAAGGCAGACACTCAACCATCTGAGCCACCCAGGTGCCCCTCTTTCCACTTTTTTTAAGTTCACTAAGCCATCTCCCACTTCAGGGCCTCCCCCCATGCTGCTCCCATCCCCAGAACCACAGCTACACCTTCTTATCCTCCAGGATATTTAGACTATCTGCCACCTGCTCCGAGAGGGTTGCACTGACGACCCAGAGTGTCCTCCCAATGTATTTCACTGCCACAGCAACCTGATGGTTTCCATCACAGCCCTCATCACAGTATTTGGGGATTTGTTGAACTCACTTTCTTATTGTTGCCTTTTCCTCAGTGGTTCTCAAGGTGGGAGGGAACTGCTGCCCACTGATCAAAGGGGTGGGCTTAAGGGGGCAGGACTAGGGTTGTGTGGGCAATCCCACTCCTAGAAAGGGGGATAGTGCTCTGGTTTAAAAAACACCATCTATAGGAATAGACTGTGAGCTCTTTGAGAACAGGGACCTGGTGTATCTTGTCAGTGCTGTGTGCCCCCAGCACCTGGGTGAGTGACTTGTAACCAGTAAGTATTTAATAAATATAAAATGAAAATGTTGCACAAGCCTCATTATAACTCCAAGAACTGCCATATGAGTAGTTGTCTTTATTAAAAATGCCCTGGACCTTATGGCTTTTTAGGTAAAGTAGGACCTCCAGTGACTCATTTGCTGATTCAATTTCTTTCAGATTCTGCTTGAAGAAATTGTAGCTAGGCCCATTCTCACCAGGACATCTGTGGTTTTGTTGAGCCTCTTCATGAGATTACTAACTCATAGGTTTTAAGAATTGTTTTCTAATTTTTGTGTATTTTAAAATAAAGCTTTATTAACTTCCCATATTTCCGGATATAATAGAGAAAGGAATCCAGAGTTCCTCCTTTGAGGCTAGTCAAATGTGGTTTTATTCACAGCCTCCAAAACTAAAGTACATGTTTGCCCCCAAGGACATTTTAAAAATATGAAATTTAGCAGAGACTCATTATCCTGTTGAATTGGGCAATCTGGTAGGGTAAAAACCTTGCAGAGATCTGAGAAAGGGTAGGAGCCAGAAACATTACCTCTGGAGCATAATAAGCTCAGGAGTGGCAATGCTTGGCACTAGAATAATGAACCAACACTGATAATTACTGGAGCTGGGTGGCTGGTACACAGGGTGGGAGTGGGGTTGATTGCATGTTTCTCACATCTGTGTATGTTGGATAATATTCTTAACAAAAAATTAAAGTAAAAATCAATTCAACTAATGCTTAGCATAGAAAGAGCCAAAGGGCAGATTTACCCAAAGCCAAAGGAGGTTAAGCCTTAGGGCCCCTGACTTGAATAGGCCCCTTATAGGTCCCCCCACCCAGTGTGTTCACAGGTCATTTTTCTTTGTAAAATGTATAAAAGTGAGATATTTTCGCTACCATTGGTCTAGGTGCTTTCCCTGTGTATTCCAACTTACACTCCCTTAAGCTTCTTTTGTGTTGGGTGGTGTTGGGGTAGCTGCAGCAGTTTTAAAAATTTTTATTCATTTATTTAAGTAATCTCTGCACCCACAATGGGGTTTGACCTCGTGACCCCGAGGTCAAGAGTCACATGCTCTACTGACTGAGCCAGCCAGGCATCCCTTTGGCTGCAGCATTTTGAGGGTCCAATTACGCGGAAATTGAGCTGGGTTATATTTGGCTTAGATTTAGTAGAATGTGTTTATGTGATTTTTAAATGCATTGTATTTATTTTTTAAAAAGATTTATTTATTTATTTTAGAGAGAGAGCTCACGAGAGCGGGGAGGGGCAGAGAGAGAGGGAGAGAGAGGGCGGGAAGCTAACTCCCCGCTGAGTGCAGAGCCTGACGCAGGGCTCTATCCCATGACTCTGAGATCAAGACCTGAGCCAAAATCAAGGGTCAACTGCTTAGCCCACTGAGCCACCCAGGTGCCCCTATGTGATTTTTCAAAAGATTTTATTTTTAAGTAATCTCTATGGCCAACATGGGGCTCGAACTTACAATCCTGAGATCAGGAGTCACATGCTCTACCAACTGAGCCAGCCGAGCACCCCTGTATTTATGTGATTTGCAAGCACTTCCATGTTTAGTTATGATTAGCTGTCCAGGTTTAGAAACGCTTCCCAGGACTACTACTGCCCAGTGTGCTGCCTCACCTGTGTAGAAAGGCAAGGCCAGAGGTCATGTCCCAATAAGAATATGCTCCTAAGGCACCTGGCCCAGAAGTATGTGGGTAATAGAAGAGAAAGTTTGAAATATATGAAGCCAGAGACCATCTGTGGTCATCAGATATGTAAAAGCACAAAGAGAATGTTTAGTTCTTATCTGTATCTGGTCAACATGGAAACTCCTGTCTGGAATAAACTCTAATGGCATTGTAGTAGCTTTCACACTCCTGACCCCGCTCAGCTGGAAGCACTTCTCCCAGAAATTGCTTTGCCTGTGTATTTCCAGGTTGAGATTATTCAGAAGAGACATCTGCATGAGCTCTGGAAGGTGGAAGTGAAGCAGCAGGTCAGCGTGGGGTACCAGGCACTGTGACCATAGATGCATATGCCTGTAGATCTAGGCTTCATCCTGTTGATATGGGGCTCTCAGCGTTAACGTCCTCCCTTTTGAGGTTGTTTACAGATCTCATTACTTTACATTCATATCCACCTAATTTTTTCAACTCAAACAAATTTAAACATTTATTGAATGATTCCTGACCTCAAGAAGCTATCTGAATAAAATTCAGAAACATGCTAAACATGGATGAACCTTGAGGACATCATGCTAAATGAAATAAGCCACACACACATGCACACACATACACACACAAATACTGCATGAGTCCAATTCTAGGAGTTTCCTAGAGTAATCAGATTCATAGAGACAGAGAATGAGGGTTGCCAGGGGCTAAGAGGAAGTGGGGGTGGGGAATTACTGTTTAATGGGCACAGAATTTCCGTTCTACAAGATGAAAAAAATTCTGGAGATGGATAGTGGTGATGGTTGCACAACAATGTGAATATACTTACCACTACTGAACTGTACACTTAAAATGGTTAAAAATGATAAATTTTGTTATGTATATTTTACCACAATAAAAAAAAACATTTTTTTTTTTTTTTTAGAGAGCTCAGTCATGGTGGGGGGTGGCGGCAGGTGGGGAGGGGAGGGTCAGAGAGAGAATCTTAAGCAGATTCCACACCTATTGCAGGGCTCGAAGCAGGACTCAACCTCACAATCCTATAACCTGAGCCAAAATCAAGAGTTGGACACTTAACCAATGGAGCCACCCAGACACCCCAAGAAAAAAAGACTTTAAAAAGAATCTATTTAGGGGCGCCTGGGTGGCTCAGTCGGTGGAGCGTCTGCCTTCGGCTTGGGTCATGATCTCAGGGTCTTGGGATAGAGCCCCGCATCAGGCTCCCTGCTCAGCGGGGGAGTCTGCTTCTCCCTCTCCCTCTGCTCGTGTGCTCTCTCTCACTCTCTCAAATAAATAAATAAAATCTTAAACAAACAAACAAAAAAGAAGCTATTTAGTCTAGTGAAAGAGGCAGACAGGTGAATGGGAAAAATAGGTGGGTCCTGAGGTCTGCCGGTGATATGGGGAAAGGTATACAGAAACAGAAAGAATCCTGGAATTCCCTCTGCTTGAGAGGGGCGGGACAAGCAGGGGACTTTGCAGAGAAGGGAATAACCAGCTGGGACTCGCTAGTGAATCTAAACAGACTGTTAGGGGAAGGTACTGCCTGGGGCCGACTAAACCGTGTGAATGCCCCAGTCTCAACCAACGTTGCCCTAAAAAATACAGGTCTCCTCAATAGAAGTGCATTACATTGTTACCACTTGGTCTTATAATTATCATGAAACTCAAATAACTCTTCCTGTTAATCTAAGAAATTT